GGAGAAAGGGAAGAATGAGCCTTGAAGTTAAAAAGTTACTGATTAAGCCATTTGACTTTTTTCCTTCATTGCTCGATTGTAGTCCAGAAAACATATGTTTAGTTTATTTTGGATGAAGGGATTCAATGTGTGATAATGCCCTGAGAGTATAATATCCTCACAGATTCAGATTTCTCATAGGAAATGTTAATGAGTGTTTTCTATTGCGCTGAAGAATACTATGTAACAGAGCTGGTAGAATACTACACAAATAGCCATTATGACAAATGCTCAGGAAGACTCTTTGTTACCAGCATAATCAGGTCCTTTTTTATACACTAGTTGCCAGCAATTGCATGAATAGAGTCTTGTTTAGGAAGTGGTTGTTCTCTGTACAAGTACCCACAGTTGCATTCACAGTTTGGTCCTGATGTTTAAATGAGAATATTCACTCATCATTATTTATTCTTTGGCATTCATTACTCTCCAGATTTAATCATGCAATCAGAGAGCAGACACAGTAGCATGTGACTTAAATGACCAAACATAAACCATAGTTAGCACAGCAGATAGTCAAAGTGATTAGTTTGTGAACATCTCCTAAGATAAAAATTGTTCATACAAATTAGGATCGTCTTCTGCAAACACGTCCCTACATCCTTACATTTGGCTAGCTTTGGCACCTGCATAGTATCTCTTTCATAAATATCGGCTGGATTTACAGCCTGATGGTCAAATACAAACAGCAAAATTTATACTCAGAAGGAAAAAAGGCTAAATTTTGTCATAATTTATTAACAGCAATTAATTTAATAACCTGTATGTAGTTATGATAAACTATTTGCATTCCTAGTCTTAATGAATTAGTTTATTGTTTGTATTATGGCAATATCATATACATATAATATGATGGGGACTAATTTAGCTACAACTACTCAAGAGAGAGATCTTGGAGTCATTGCGGTTAGTTTTCTGAAAACATCCACTCAGTGTGCAGTGGCAGTCAAAAAAATAAATAGAATGTTAAGAATCATTTAAAAAGGGATAGAGAATAAGACAGAGAATATCTTACTGCCTCCGTATAAGACCATGGTAAGCACACATCTTGGACAGTGCATACAAATGGGTCACCTCATCTCCAAAAAGATTATATTGGAAAAGGTTCAGAAAAGGGCAACAAAAATGATTAGGGGTTTGGAACGGGTCCCATATGAGGAGAGGTTACAAAGACTTGGACTTTTCAGCTTAGAAAAGAGGAGACTAAGGGGGGGATATGATAGAAGTCTATAAAATCATGACTGGTATGGAAAAAAGTGAATAAGGAAAAGTTATTTACTTATTACCACAATATAAGAACTAGGGGTCACCAAATGAAATTAATAGGCAGCAGGTTTAAAACAAACAAATGGAAGTTTTTCTTCACTCAGTGCACAGTCAACCTGTGGAACTCCTTGCCAGAGGAGGTAGTGAAGAGTAGGACTTTAACAGGGTTCAAAAAAGAACTAGATAGATTCATGGAGATTAGGTCCATCAATGGCTATTAGCCAGGATGGGTAGGAATGATGTCCCTAGCCTTTGTCTGGAAATGGGTGACGGGAAAGAGATCACATGAGGATTGCCAGTTGTGTTCCCTCCCTCTGTGGCATCTGTTGGCAGACAGGATACTGGGCTAGATGGACCTTTGGTCTGACACAGTATGGCCGTTCTTCTATACAAGAAGCTTCAGTCAGCATGAGGTTTCATTGTGCTGGATGTTATCCAAGCAAAAAGTAGAAGACATTCCCTACTCACAGTGCTTAATCTAATTATTTTTAAAAAAGAGAATGCCTCTAAACTAGAGAACAGAGTACTACAGCTACTCCCAGAATTATACCTATAGACTGTGTCTACATTGGCACCCTTTTCCGGAAAAGGGATGCTAATGAGACCAGTCGGAATTGCAAATGCCGCGGGGGATTTAAATATCCCCCGCGGCATTTGCATGAACATGGCTGGCGCTTTTTTTCTGCTCGGGGTTTTGCCGGAGAAAAGCACCAATCTAGACGGGATCTTCCATGAACTGGGCTGCCGCTTTTTTCCGGCTCGGGGCTTTGCTGGAGAAAAGCGCCAGACTAGACGGGAATCTTTCGGAAAATAAAGCCTTTTCTGGAAGATCCCTTATTCCTGATTTTGAGAGGAATAATGGATCTTCTGGAAAAGGCTTTATTTTCCGAAAGATCCTGTCTAGACTGGCGCTTTTCTCCGGCAAAGCCCCGAGCCGGAAAAAAGCGGCAGCCATGTTCATGCAAATGCCCCAGGGGTATTTAAATCCCCCGCGGCATTTGCAATTCCGACTGGTCTCATTAGCATCCCTTTTCCGGAAAAGGGTGCCAATGTAGACACAGCCATATAGTGTTTTATCATTATAAGGTTGATTCTCATTATAAGGTGTCCATCTACATAGTATTACTGTATAAAGTCACGGCTTTACATGAGACAGGTTCGTGACCTAGCATTCTTTTTAAGACTTCTCAGAGCAAGGCCTTGGAGTCAAGTAAATGGGCTTAAATTGCAGCAAGGGAGGTTTAAGTAGGACATTAGGAAAGAGCCCAGTGGCTCTTACTACATTTAAAATGCAGAGCTGCAGTGCAGGTGGATATGGAGCCGGCATGAGCCAAGGTCTGCTCATTCCTGGCTGGAGTTGGCTCCTGGAGCTACCCCTGCTGCAACTCTGCATGGTGGCAGTTGTCGACTAATTGTATATTCAATACAAATTGTATTGATTATATGATTAGCCAGATAATAGCATTTTAACATTGGGACACTGGTTAGCCTTAAAACTTTAATATATATTCTTACTTTGTTACTAACTCTGTGAAGAGACAGGACTATGTAGCACTTTAAAGACTAACAAGATGGTTTATTAGATGAAGAGCTTTCGTGGGCCAGACCCACTTCCTCAGATCAAATAGTGGAAGAAAATAGTCACACCCATATATACCAAAGGATACAATTTAAAAAAAAGTGAACACATATGAAAAGGACAAATCACATTTCAGAACAGAAGGGGGATGCGGGGAGGGGAGGAAGGTAAATGTCTGTGAGCTAATGGTATCACCAATTATCACCTCTAATACCATTAGCTCACAGACATTTACCTTTCCCCACCTCTAATATCATTAACTCACAGACATTTACCTTCCTCCCCCCCCCCCCCCCCCCCCCCCTTCTTTTTTCAATAGTGTTTTTTTTTTTTTTTTTTTTTTCTTTTTTTTATATTGTTTTTTTTTGTAATGTCGTTTGGAAAATCGTGCTAAAAAATTATTTCACTTTTTTTTTTAATTGTATCGTTTGGTATATATGGTTGTGACTATTTTCTTCCACTATTTGACCTGAGGAAGTGGGTCTGGCCCACAAAAGCTCATCATCTAATAAATCATCTTGTTAGTCTTTAAAGTGCTACATAGTCCTGTATTTTGTTTCAGCTACACCAGACTAACACGGCTACATTTCTATCTCTGTGAAGAGAGAGAGAGATCCCATCAGGACTCCTGATCTCTGTCTCAACTGTGAACGGAAGTGGGGTCTAGTGGGTTGCAGTAGGAGGCAGATACATTTCAGCTCTATATAAGAACATGAAAATGGCCATACTGGGTCAGACCAATGGTCCCTCTAGCCCTGGATCCTGTCTTCCAACAGTGGCCAATGTCAGGTGCTTCAGGAAGAATAAACAAAAGAGGCAATCATCATGATCCATCCACTGTCACCTATTTTGTTTGTTTGAAATCTGCTGCCTATATATTTAATTGGGTCATCTTCTTGCCACACCATTCATGATTTTCTAGACCTCTAACATACCTCCCACCCTTTAGTCATTTCTTTTCCAAACTAAAAAGTCCCAATCTCGTTAATCTCTCCTCATATGGAAGTGGTTCCTTGCACCCCTAATAATTTCTGTTGCCCTTTATGTACCTTTCAGATGGGGTGACCAGATCTGCATATAGTATTCAAGATGTGGGCATATAATGACTTTATATATAGTGGTAAGTAATATGGTATTTTGTCTTGGGCAACACAAGGGCAGATGGATTTCAGTGTTGATAATTGCAAAGTAATGGATATGGAAAATATAATGCTCACTATAGATATACAAATGATGGGATGAAAAATAGCTGTTAACACTCAAGAAAGATCTTGGAATCGTTGTGGATAGTTCCCTGTTCAGTGTGCAGTGGCAGTGAAACTAACAAGCTAGCACAATATTGGAAATCATTAGCAAAGGAACAGATAATACTGCTGTTAAACTTCTCATACGTGTTCTTGAAAAAAGGGTAAACAGTGACTAATCCAAAGCTGACTGCAAAGAGTTACAAAGGGATTCTCACAAAACTGCATGATGGGACCAAATGCACATTCCAGCAGCACAACATTCATTCATACACTTCCCTCTCCCGCCCCCGTCTTTTAAATGGTGTATCTGCCAATGTTTTCATGGTGATATAATGATCCTTCCATTATTTGAATGCCCAGCCTTTTGCTCTTCTTAATCACCCTGCCTCCCTCTTTTTATAACAAACTCCCTGCCACAAAAACAAAGCTGCAAGCAGCTCAAACTCTGTTGAATTTAAGAACTGTCTTTGGAGTGAGGAGATGGACTTTAAGCAGACCTCAAGTATGAAATTCAGAGGTTCAAACTTGGGAAGGGAGATTAGTGGCCTCCTAATCTCCCCATAAATTGCATCTTTGTTTCCACTCTATTTATTTTTAGCTTCATAAAATGTTGTCTGTCTTGTAACTGTGATGGGGCAGCTATGTGAAGTTTTTTTATTAAATTGATAACATTTTACTGTAATTTTTGTAAAAACAATAGAGCATGCAAATTAAGTTGAAAATAGGAATGTGTCAAGCAATTTTGTTTTTTTCTAATGGCTGCTATATTAGACTGTGTTCTCTTAATGATATGAATTAAGATGCTGAAAGACTGAACACGTAATAGTATAAAGTAACATTTTATTTTATTGAAAATCACCATAAAGAAACCTTCTCCGTTTTGTTACCTCTTTTACTTGTAGCCTTCTATTTCTGTCTGGGTTTTTGCAATCATTTGTTCATTTCAGAAAGACCTTTACCAGGAATCCAATTAATTTTGGAAAATAAATTATTTTAGAGGTTTCATTCACATGTAATGTTTTTTAAAAAATCCTTCCAGAAGTTACAATATTTTTATGAAGTAATAGTTCTCCAAGTTAGCATATTTCTGTACTTGCAGTTCACTCATTATTGCCTCTACCTCCATCCATTCCTCTCCAATAAATAAATAAATAAATAAATACAAAAAAAGATTATTGTAAATTTTGGCACACACTTGCAGTGGCATCACTTGCTTAGAAGTTACATACTTTGGATTTCCTCAGTTTGTGATATGCTGAAATGTCTTTCAGATGTTTTTAATCATGAAAAAATTCAGGAAACCACAGTAATCCATAATAAAACTTCCTTTCCCTTTTTAAAAAAAATAGCCAATAAATTAGTCTACTGTATCTTATCAAAATGCCACATTTGTCTATGACTGAACCTTAAACAAAAGGTCAGGCATTTACTTAGACAGCTAGATTGGGTAGAGAGAAAGCAGGCTTAACTAAGTGTACTTTCAGTTCCTGTTTCCAATTGAGACTCTTCTCTGGCTGGAGCCAAGCCCACACTGAAAGCTCATTGGTCCGAGATGCTTCAACTTCCTACACAAACAAAGATCTCTGCTGTTTTTTTAAGTTGAAAGACGCAGTCTGTTGTTATGGTGTGTTTGGATTCAGGACAGAGGGACAGTATTTTAGTTGCTGATATGAAGTGCTGACGTTGTGCTGCATGAAGAAGTTTTCATTTATAAATGTTGGACTAATGCCCAGACTGCTATGGTAGAATCTGGAAGAAAATACAATAAGGAGAAGAACGTCAGACCAATTTGCAGGAACATATATGTGGAGAAAAAAGGCTTTATCAAAAGACACTTTGCAAACAGTGAAAGAACTAGATAATGGACAATAGTTATGAATCTTTAAAAACCTATCCTGAGTCATCCCTTATTATCCATGCAGGTAACTATGTTCTTCATAATTAAGTAAAGAATACCTGACTGTATCTACCATAGCCTGTATTTATATCAGCGGAGGAGAAGAGGGCAGGGAAGGAGGAAACATAATGAAGCTTTACAATTTCAGTGCCTGTTGTTTCAAGTTTAATGTTTTTCTCTTTTAATATTGTTATGAAAAACAGAATATTGGAGAAAGGGATGGTTATAGAAATGTTTGTCTAAAGTGCTTATTAAATATTGAATACAAATGTATTATTAGTTCATAGCTCTAGCAAAGGTAGGATGTTTTGGGTCTGTCCCCCAAAGAGACAATGCTGTGTCTGGGTACAAGGTACTCTGAGTGCGCCACAAGCCCATATTCTGCAAGGTAAAGGTATAAGAAACAAAGTGCATATTTTTGGTATGAGATGGATATGTGACTTCCTCCACCTCCCACTCAAAGTAGAGCTTAGGTTGTCATGGAAAATGTATCCCGTTAATATCTGTGAAAGCGTGAGTGAGTTCTAGGTCCCTGACTGCTTAGAGTACTCCTTGGTTGTTGAAAGTGACATTGTCCAAAAAATGAAAGGAAAGAAGGGAAATGATGGAAAACAAAACTCCAGTTTTGATCTTCCAGAGTTGTTAAATACAGCATGGCTGTGTCTAAACTGGCCAGTTTTTCCGGAAAATCAGCCGCTTTTCCGGAAAAACTTGCCAGCTGTCTACACTGGCCGCTTGAATTTCCGCAAAAGCACTGACTTCCTACTGTAAGAAATCAGTGCTTTTTGCAGAAATACTACGCTGCTCCCGTTCGGGCAAAAGGGCCAGTGTAGACAGCTGAGATTTGTTTTGCACAAAAAAGCGGCTTTTTTGCGCAAAAGCAAGTCTAGATTGGCCACGGACGCTTTTCCGCAAAAAGGGCTTTTGCGGAAAAGCGTCTGTGCCAATCTAGATGCTCTTTTCCAAAAATGCTTTTAACAGAAAACTTTTCCGGAATTATGCCAGTCTAGACGTAGCCCATAAGTTGTAACAATGGTAGATGAATGCTCTGGGATGGTGGGCCAGATTTTCAGTTGGTATAAATATGTGTAATTGCGCTAAGCTGACTTAACATCAGCTGAAAACCTGTCCTATATCTTTTAAAATTTGCCTTGACTATTATTAAATACAACAACAGCAATAAAGAAAATTCAACATGCATATATCTTAAAATGCAGGGCAAAAACAAAGATAGAGAGCCAGGCATTGCATCTACCTACACCTCATCCAACCCCATTGACTCTTCTGAGGTTGAACAGCATGGAATTTGGCCCACAGTGTATATCTTTCTGTCATATCTGCAACAGCTGTTTGAGGTCACTGGACATGAGTCAAAACTCTGGAGACAAGTTAGGCAGGTAATAGATACCAACTGACATTAATACATTTTTTTGCTTGGCTTTTAAAAATAATAGCTTTGAGGCTAGTATTGCTGTCAAAATAGGAAAAACTAACCCGGTATATACAGACTTAATTTAAAAAATGCAGATAACATTTTGTAGGATTGTGTTGCCATTCAAGAGTGATCTTGGCAGGGTGGTGACAGGACACAAGGGGAAAGGAGAGAACAACTGGCTGCACCTGCTTTCTAGATACCTCCATCATTAGTTATCACTAAATTAAACATCACAGATGAAAGCTGCAAATCATTCTTTTGAACAGAGGTGAAATGCTACAGGTAGAAGACTAATGGGGTAAAAAGTGAACCAGGTTTACTGCGTGAGTAAAAACCCATCCACCATCTTTCCAGGATCCCAGAGCACTTTTTTTAAGCTGTTTTATTTGTTGACTGATCCTACGTTTTTTGCAGATACTACTAATAGAAGCTTAAAGCTAAGTTAGGACAGTGAGATGGAGCCTATAGGTGAATATGAACACACACAGTACCAGAGCACTAATGTGCTGCATTGAGTTTATATGGTGTTACTCTTTACCTCACCTTTGTCCTTAAGACAGGCAAACTTTAGAACTTCCTAACTTGGTACTTAGGCTATTTCAGATGAGGTGGCTGTGAGGACCACTGAGAAAGAAAGTAGCTGAGATTAATAAACATCCAGAAATGCCTCTCTGGAAAGCAATATATTTTATGTAATTGTTTAATATTAACATTTGCTAAGCACCCATCCTGTGTTTAGTGTGATACAGATGAGTATGCGGCGTAGACAGAAACTTGGTTTCTGCTCTTAGAAATGTACAGTCTAAACAGCAAGGGTTTGTAATGCCAACAGCTCCAGCCGATCGAGAATTGGCCTGACATAGAGGAAACTCTGGATGGCGTAGAGCCAGAATTATCCCCTCCAGTACAGTGGGCAAGTGTGACTGGAAGAGACAGGAGTGCACAGGTGCTTTTGCTAGTTCTAGTTTCTTGAAGTGAAAGCAAAAGAAAGCAACTTCAGTGTCTCTGTAACGTGCTACAGGGCTGAACTGGGCCTACAACATGTGGTGCAATATTGCCAATCCCTCATGTTTAGAGCTAAAAAAACAAACCCATGAAGCAGGTTTAAAAACAATGAGATTAGAAAAACAGTATTTTTGTTTTTTTCCCAATTCTCTTCAATTTGTATTTGATCACTTCTGAGTCTTAAGTTCAACCCTAATTATACTCTCAAAAGGCTGTTTGCCACTTGGTGCTAACTGCAGACTGCTCGTATCCTTTCCTACCTCATGGGTATAGGGACCTGCTTTCTTGCTATCTTAATAAGATAGGCAACTGCCTATCTCGTATATTCCCTCCACAGTCCTTTACCTAACCCTGGCCGGTATTCATATGTCCTTCTAATTTACTTACACTTCTCCTCTTGCGTCCCATCACATTCTCCTTCTTTGCCATGCCACTTTCCCAGGGATCTTCTCAACCTGCTTCCTGCTCCACTGAATCTGCATCCTGTTCCCCATAGTCTGGACTCAGTCTCCTGTTTTCTTTCCTAAATATCTCCTATCTTTCTTCATCCTCAGTCTCTTTCCCAACACTTTCACATTCTCCTGTCCTTTAGTTGGCCAGCTCTTCTTGCTAAATATGGGGCTGCCATCTTCCCTGATAGCAATTTAGTTTAAGTCCCAGTGGAAACAATGAGAGGTGGTAGTCATCTTTTTTGAGGGCAGCCTCATTTTCACCTGCGAAGGTCAAGAAGAAACAGAGGCTACTTTGCTGAAGAACACCTATTGCTTTATTTCTATTGACAGTAATGAGAGATAGCTGCCATCTTGTATAAGGGCAAAGATTCATGAAGTTGGAGGTAGAAATAAGAATATCATGAGATCCATTTAAAATAATCCCAAATATCCCAAGATTCCTGATGAAACTACTATCCTGTTCTAAGAAGTGTTCAGGAATCAAGCTCAGAGACAAAAATGCTACTTGTGGAAATAGGAGTGGGAAAGAATTCGTAGGATATCTGATGATTTGCTCGTCCATCAGGGAATATGTATTTGTTCACTAATGTATTTTATGAATATTGTACAGGTTATTCAGTATAGTACTTTGCTGATTATTCTCTGTTCAGAGTTTACTGTCTATGATTTGATAAAAAATTTGCTCTGGAATTGGGAGTGCTCTGAAACTACCAAACAAAAATTGGAAAAAATAAGCCTTTATTGAGACAATTATTCAAGTGACATAACTTGTTTTTCCTTTTTGCTTTTCATTTATATATTTAAAAAATATATACAAACAACTTCATTATCCCTTTTACATGGCAACGGAAAAACAAGCATGTAAGGAAAATATATACACAATTATAAAAGAAAGAAACTGATGTAACTTTCTATTAAATCTCATAATTTGCAAATTAATCCAATGGTTGAGCTAACATGATGGGCTAAATTCATCTTGTGTAATTCCATTGAATATATGCTAATGGGACATTATTGGCTTAAATTTGACCTAAAATGTAAGTGCGCTATGAAAGCTTATATAAAAGCTTAGGAAGGGTGAAATGTTTGTGGGTTTCAGTTCCAATGAAAGGTGCTGCTTTTAAACAAATACTGCCTTGCTAGAACTTCAATCTCTGGGCCACTGTGTGTGTTAAAAGTGAAACTGGCTACAAACAAAAGTGAAACTAAGGTTGTTTTTTGTTGTCTAGTCTCAGAGAAATGGCAAAAGTAAACAGAGCTTAAGTATCCCTATGTAAACTAGATTTTAAAAATCCATTCACTTAAAGTGAAGTTAGTAATGTACAGGAAGAGAGTCCGCCCATGTGCCCGCTCCTGATTATTCGTCCCTCAACTCAGTGGAAATGTAGATCTTCCTCTTTTGATGAGTGAACTTTACAGCCTTTTTTCAACTGATTAATATACATAGCTTTATCTTATTTATTGTGTCTTCCCCCACTTCTTTGTCAAATGACACACGGTTAAAGAAAGATTTATTTAAATTCTTCAGTGAAGTTCCCTTCTAATGCAAACCTTGAGTCTGCTTCCAGCATTATGATATGTGGTAACTCAATAGTCCTAAGATTTCTTTTCTTAATTCTTAAATGTTTCCCTTCCTTATTCCCTTGTGGGACAGGTGAGAAAAGCAATTGCCTCCAGTGCTTAATGCATCACAACTCAAAAACTCACTCCATCCTTGTAATTTAGAATCCCAGCTCAGCTGGTGGTTCCTGGATTTGAGACTTAGCATGTGAGTTCAGCACTTTTAAATCAATCACTCTGAACAGCATTTCTGTCAAAGAGAAACCTTTTTTTTTTTTACAAGACGGTTTTCTTTATTTTCACATGCGGAACCTGAGAAGTGAACGCTCTCATATATGTACCCAATATATGTAGAGAAAATATTGAATTCTATATAATTCTTTCCATTTATTTAAAGTGATTGTTCTATCAATCCAAGGAATATGCCAGTATTTCACTGGAACAGCAAATAGCTCTTTTTCATTTATTTGTGTCTCTGTATTGAAGAAAGCACTTCAGAATGTTTTAGTAATTAATAGACTGAGTGTATGGAGCATTGGCCTCTCTGCAGAACCAGTAGAGTTCAACTGTATA